GTAGGAAGATCACAGTCTACACTGTAACACAGTTGACAGTAATTCATTGAATAGTTCAAAGTAGCTAGTGGACAGGATTTTTGAACATTTCCAACAGGAAGAAATGATAAATGTCTGAGGTGCACTCTCTCTCTCTCTCTCTCTCTCTCTCTCTCTCTCTCTCTCTCTTTCTCTCTCTTTTTCTTTTCTTTTTCAAGACAGGGTTTCTCTGTGTTATAGCTCTGCTGTCCTGGATCTCGCTCTGTAGACCAGGCTGGCCTCGAACTCACAGAGATCCTCCTGCCTCTGTCTCCCAAGTGCTGGATTAAAGGTGTGCCCCACCACTGCCCAGCCAGTATGAGTCTCTTACGCTGATTTGATCAGTAGACATTGCTAACATGTACTGAAATGCCACACTGTACCCCATGAATATGCACAATTACTGTGTATTAGTTACAGTGTATTAATAAGGGCTGTCAAGATGGTTAAGTAGGTAAAGAAGCTTGTCACCAAGGTGAGCCACATGGTAGAAGAATCGAGCCAACTCCTCTTGGTTGTTTTCTCTCAGACTTCCACACATGCACACTCATAGTCACACATATACATGCATGCAAAATAAATGAAAATACAATACACACACACACACACACACACACACACACACACACACACACACACACACATACACACACACAAATGGCTGGGTGTGGTGGAGTATACCTCTAATCCCACCCCATCACCAGGTAGAGGCAGGTGGATCTCAGGAGATTTGAGGCCATTATAATCTACATAGCAAGTTTCAGGACAGTCAGGAATAATGTGTGTGTGTGTGTGTGTGTGTGTGTGTGTGTGTATAGTAGGATACACTATCTATACACTGTATCTATACTACTATACACACACACACCAACTTGAACACTACTGAAGCCTCTTTAACTTGTATTTATTCCATAACCCCTATGTGTCTGTCTATCTATCAATCAATCAAAATATATTTATTATGTGCTATGTGATGTGTGAAATGAAGAGTTAATATCAATAATTAAGAGTAGAATAAAGAGCCGGGTGGTGGTGGAACACACCATTAATCCCAACACTTGGGAGGGAGACAGGAGGATCTTTTTGAGTTTGAGGCCAGCCTGGTCTACAGAGCGAGTTCCAGGATAGCCAGAGCTACATAGAGAAACCCTGTCTCAAAAAACTAAAAAGACTTAAAAAAAAAAAAAGTGCATTTGCCTTGGCCAAGCTACCCAGGTAGGAAACTTGTGAATTTACTGTTATCCAGTGAATTCCGACACTTGTGTGTTTCTAGTACAGTGTGCTCATGACACTGTTGCTCTTTCTCTCCTGTGATGGGGCACCAGTGGCTGGCCCTCTGGTGTGCTCTGCTACCACTGCTGCACCCTCTTAGTGTGCTGTGGCCCTATCTCCAGGGGTCCCCTGGGGCCCCACAAAGACAAGAATGCTTATTTCTCTTTGGCTATTTATTTATACTCAGTTCCCTGACCCTCCCCACTCCAAGACTTTGTGGAAAGAGGGTCTGTGGAGAGAGGGTGGCCCAGCACTGACACTGATGCCCTGTCAAAGCCAGCTGCACATTGTTGACCTGAACCCTAAGCCTCAGATGGATTCACAGAGCCCAGGACTCACACTCAGCCTTAGCTGACTGTGCTCACAGTCACCACAGGTCAACGATGCTCTGGACAAAGTCATTCCCTTCCTGAGGGCATATGCGGTATGACACAGTCGGTAAGGTCCTAGGACAGGAGCCAAAGGATGCAATACTAGGCCATTAGTCAAGCCTTAAGCCCAGGAGTCCCTTTTATACTACCGCTGTTGGGCCAGGGGTTGTCCTGGCCCTGTGGCTTCTTCTCTGATGGCCTTTGCCTCTGCTGCTTTTGCTTACAGCGAAGACACTTTATCCTGGTCCCCATATGCTCACATATTTCAATGCTTAGTTCCCAGGGAGAAGCACTATTTGATAGGATTAGAAGGATTAGGAGGTGTGTCTTTGTTGGAGTAGGTGGGACTTTGTTGAAGGAAATGTGTCACTGGGGTGGTCTTTTTTTAAATTAATTTTTATTTTATGTACACTGGTGTTTTGCCTGCACGTATGTCTGTATGAGGGCGTCATATCCCCTGGAAGAGGAGTTACAGACGGTTGTGAGCTGCCATGTAGATGCTGGGAATTGAACCCGGTCCTCTGGAAGAGCAGTCAGTGCTCTTAATCTCTCCAGCCCCACCAGGGTAGTCTTTGAGGTTTCAAAAGCCCATGCCAGGCTCAGTCTCTCTCTCTCTCTCTCTCTGCCTACAGATCATGATATAGTTCTACCTCTCCAGCACCATGCCTGCCTGGCTGCTGCCATGCTCCCCGCCATGATAACAACGGACTAAACCCCTGACACTGGAAGCCAGCCCCCAACTAAGCGCTTTCCTTTATAAAAGTTGCTGTGATCACAGTGTCTTTTCACAGTGACTACGACACTTCCCTTCCACCAGCATACCTGGGTCTCCACTTACACTTCTTGATCTGTAAATCACTGGGACCTTCCTCCGGCTTTCTTTGAAGAAATTGCTGTTGCCAGACCTCAGGCTGGTTGGGAGCCTGCTAGTCTGAGGGATAGCCCTACTTGTCTCTTTTTCAGTCAGTGCCCACCCCCCCACCCCCCACCCCCCACCCCCCACCCCCCCAAGCCAAGAGTCGTAACAGAAGCTCCAAGGATCCCACTGCATATCTGGTGAGCCCTCTCCTGGCCTGAGAAGTGGTGGCTGGAGGGGGGGAAGCCTGACACGCAGGACGTCAGAAGTGTGAGCACGGGCAGTGTGCCCAGCAGGACGATGTGGCAGGAACATCCACGTCAGCCTGAGGAAGCTCTCACCTCAAGACGATCTTTGATCCCCGCTTCCACCTTCAGTGCTGTGGGGTTACAGGCACGTGCTATCACGCCCGCCTCTTACAGTGCGAACCCACAATCACACTCGGCTTCTCATAACCACTCTACCCGCCGAACTACATCCTCAGCCCATTTCCTTAGTTTTTTTTGTTAAAGCCCCCCCCCCCCGCCCCAGGTTTATTTATGTGTATGAATGTTTTGTCTGCAAGTGTGTCTGTGCGCCATGTGCATGCCCAGTGCCCACAGAGGTCAGAAGAGGGTGTCGGATCCCCTGGAACCGGAGTTATGGATGGTTATGAGACACCATGTGGGTGCTGGGGTTGGAACCCAGGTCCTCTGCAAGAGCAGCCAGTGCTCTTAACTGCTGCGTCGCCTCTCCAGCCTCTTCTGCAGTAGTTTGTAATAGAAAGCCATCTTAAAGCCACTCACAGAACTCCTGCAATTTAGCAAGAAGCTCTTGCAAAGCGACTCCAGCAAAGTGCTGCCTCCTGCTCAGGTCCTGGTGGGCTCCAGGTTCTGGAGCCACGGTCTCTATTGCGGCTCCCTCCCGACCCCCCAGGACTCCTGAGCTCAAAGCTCTCATCCTCCAGCTCACGTCCATGGTCTATTGGTACTGATGACTTCTGGCCAACTCTCTTCAGGAAAGTACTCTCAGAGGCAGTGGTCCATCTCTTCTCCAGTTCTCCCGATTATTATTACTTGTGTGTGTGTGTGTGTGTGTGTGTGTGTGTGTGTGTGTGTGTGTGTGTGTGTGTGTGTGTGTACATGAGTATGGGTGTCTGTGGAGGCCAAAGAGGGTATCAGACTCCTTGGAGGTGGAGTTATAGGCTGTTGTGAGCCTCCTGATGTGGGAATCAAACTCAGGTCCTCTGGAAATGGCAAGTGCCAAGGCTTCTCTGAAGCTCCTGAGACTTTCCTTCTTTACCAGCCCTGCCCATTTCTGTGTGTGTAGGTGTATAAGTGTGTGTGCACATGGTGTGCATGTATATGTAATATGTAGGCTAGTAATAACTTCCAGGGTTTGTTGTTTACTAGTCTCTGTGCATTTTGATATTTTGTTTGAGACAGGGTTTCACTACGTAGACCAGGCTAGCCTCGAAGCCACAGAGATCAATCTGCCTCTGCCTCTGGAGTGCTGGAATTAAAGGGGTGCATCACCACCACTTGGCTTTTTTTTTTGGACACAGGATTTCTTACTGGTCTGGAGCCTGCCAAGTAGGATGGGCAGGTGTGACCTCCTGGTGCTAGGATTACACCCATGCTGCCACTATCCTGGTATTTCTACATGGGCTCTGGGAATTGGACTCACGCTTATGAGACTCTATGGATGCAGCTGCCTCCCAGCCTGCTTCTTCTTTTTCACACTCTGGTTCTCTTTGCTTTTTTCTGTGCTCTCCAGATCCCATGCTCTCCCAGCCCACACCTGACATCTCATGAAAACGGGCACAGCGTCACAGTGTGTGGGGACCCTGACAGGTTCAGTCCTGTCAAATGGAGTAGACATGGGGCACTTTCTATGGGGCAGCTAGTCAGCGATGCCCTCGCTCCAGTCAGAAGCCTGTATCTGTGTCCTCTCATATTGAATCAGGCTTTGGGCAGCTGTGGTCCATAGGAGAAAAGTACTCATGGAACAGGGGAGACTTAGAGTACCTGAGTGTGACCTCCCATGGCAGTGGGAACCCCGAGATTACTGTGCACAAGCCCAGCCACCTGGCTGGAAGATGAAGCCTCACTGGAGGAGAACTGAAGACCCAGCTACCTAACTGCCAGACAAGAGGGAGGTCCCTGTTCGCAGAGGCACAATTCAGCAGTCCAGCTAAGTTCTGAAGATGATCCAAGCGCAGCCCGAGTTGCTGATGTACCTATTTGTAAAGCTAAGAAATGACTGTTTGGGAAATGGTTTGTTAACGCAAAAGCTAAGTGTAACACTCAGTACAATTCACCATGAGGAGCATCAAGTGAGATTAAAATGGTCAGGCAAATAGGGGCAGCCACCCAAGCCATGGGGTACGCTGTCAGGCACACTGGGGGGCCCCAGGGGATCCCTCCAGGTCCTGAACCAGGACTACGGGAAGTGAGACATTCATGTTCACTCAAGATTTGAGAAAGAACCTGAAAACTCACAGATCAAGATAAATAATACTTTAATGTAGTATTTAAAAAGTCAAATAAGGTCGAGGCCAGCCTAGTCTACAGAGTGAGTTCCAGAACAGGCACCAAACCTACAAAGAGAAACTCTGTCTTGAAAAAAACCCAAAAAAAACCAAAAAAAGTTAAATAAGGAAACTTGCCCATGTGCCTAGCTGCTTACTTTATAAATAAAGTTTTGTTGTAACAAGGACCAGGATTAGGACTAGGCAAGCAGGTAGTGTCATGCAAGTGCAGGGTCAGACTTGCTTTTATTTATTTATTCAAAGTTTGAGTTGGGCACAAACTTTTAAAAAGTGGTGATACTTTTAATCCCAGTACTTGGGAGGCAGAGACATGTGGATCTCCAAGTTTGAGGCCAGCCTGGTTTAAATAGTGAGTTCCAGGACAGCCAGGGCTACACAGGAAAACCCAAGACTCAAGAAAATTGAGGGGGCAGGGGGATCAATGCTTAGAAGAAACTCCCATGGGCAGCAGAGCTGGGCTCAGCTTCCAGGACAGAGGCTCCTCTAAGCCACCTGAGGTACCCATTCTTTCAGAAGTCCTCCAATGGCTTCCTCAGTCACTGGCAATTTTTAGGTGCCACATGACTAAACCTCCACAGATTCCTTTCTTTTGGAAACAGGGTCTTACTATGTAGCTCTGGCTGGCCTGGAGTTTGCTTGATAGACCAAGTGGGCCTTGAACTCACAGAGATCCATCTGCCTCTGCCTCCAAGATCAGGGACTGAAGGCGTGCGCCACCACTCCTGGTTTAGACCTCCAGACTACTTTTTAGAAAGTTTTGCTTGGGCTGGAGAGATGGCTCAGCTTGTTTTACAAGCTTGATGATCCCAGTTCAATGCCCAGAACTCATGTATAGGGGGAAGGAGAAGTGACCCCACAAAGTTGATCTCTGACCTCCACGTGTGTACCATGGCAACTGGAAAACCTGTCCTCACTCACAGACAACATATTTGCATAATAATAAATAAATGAAATTAAAATATTTTATTTGAGCTGGGCGGTGGTGACGCACGCCTTTAATCCCAGCACTCGGGAGGCAGAGGCAGGCGAATCTCTGTGAGTTTGAGGCCAGCCTGGTGCACAGAGCGAGTTCCAGGACAGCCAGGGCTACACAGAAAAACCCTGTCTCAAACAAACAAACCAACAAACGTTTTATCTGATTTTTCCCCCCTGTAGACTGGGTTCATCCCCAATCTCAGCAGGGCAAGCAGGCACTTGGAGTACTTGATTATTTATGAAAAAGTTGTTCAAAAGCTCTATCTTATTTTCAATTACGGGTATGAATGTGTGTCTGCGGAGGGCATGGCTGCATGAGTGCTGGCCCTGAGGTCCTCTGCGAGAGCGGTCCACACTCTTAACCACTGAGCCGTGTATCAGCCCCAAGTTGTCAGAACTTTTAAAAAGGATCAGGCAGGCGGATCTGGGGTTTGGAGACAGCTGTACCACAGCCAGTTCCAGGCCAGCCTGGGTTACACAGGGAAACCTATTAAAAACCAGGCCTATTGCTAGTTTCAGCTGTGGGGGGTTCAAGTGTGTGCTGCGAGCAGGCCGTGTAGGAGTGCTAAGGGTAATGCTTTCGTTCCCAGAGAACAACCCACACCTCGCTTGGTGATCTCAGTGTGCTGAGTCCTCACAGGATTCCCTCGTCCGTCCCTCTAAAAGAGCACTTCTCCTCCTCCCCAGACAACAGACAAGCAGCCTGACTTCTACCCAGGTAGGGGCTTGAGGGAGAGATCGCTGTTGCCTTCATTCCGGGGCCTGAAAAGATAACTCTCCCCAGCCTGGGTGTCTGCTGCTCCCACACCAGGCAGGGAAAGGCTGTGCCAGGCACTGGCACCTGTGGAATCTCGGGGGTGTTGGCTGGTGCGGTGGAGTGCCTTCTCCATGATGCTCCTTTCAGTTCATCCCCAGGTTCCACCACAGAGTGACTTGACGCCAGAGTCCTTCCCTCTGCCACACGCTGTGTGCCCTTCAGACACCCTTACTTTGGACATCCACAGGCAGAGCTAGGAGGTCAGCAGGCACTTCAGGCCTTAAGTGCAGAGAGAGGCACATATTTCTGGAGTGTTGGAGAGAGATGTGACTTCCAGACCAGGGTGGGGCAGGAGACAGGTCAAGCTGGCCACATTTCTAAGCCCTTTACAACTGTACACAGGGGCTGGAGAGACGGCTCGGCGGCGGTTAAGAGCATTTGTTGCAGGGCCTATATGGAGGCTCGCAGCTGCCTGTAACTCCAATGTGAGGGCTTCTGAGACCTTCTTCCAGCCTCTGTGGGCACCAGGCACACACATGTGCACACACAAAGATTTCATGTCAAGATACATAAAACCAACCAATCTGAAAACAACCACAGAAACCCAAACAACTGTTTGAGGAGCCTGAGTCTACTTTGTATTCTAGAGCACACCTTATCCTTCTTCTAAAAACCAGATCTCATGTAGCCCAGGCTGGCCTCAAACTCACTATGTAGCACAGGATGATCTTGAACTTCTCAGTCCCATGCCTCCCTGTCCTGAGTGCTGAATGACAGGTGAGTATGACCACGTATGGTCTCTGGTACTAAAGATGGAACCCAGGGCTTGCATGCTAGGAAAGCACTCTACCCCTTAGCTACATCCCTGGGCCCATAGCATAGTCTTGTTTTTAAATTTATTTTTTCAGAACTTTGTACATGAGCAGTGTGTCCACATCTTTTCCCCGTCCCCTTCATCCCATCTCCGGGAACATTATATCTTTCAGCAGAGTTTAGAGCAGTGGTTCTCACCCTTCCTAATGCTGTGCCCTGTAATACAGGTCCTCAGGTTGTGCTGACCCCAACCATAACATTACTTTCATTGCTATTTCATAATGGAATTTTGCTATTGTTATGAATCATAATCGTATCTGATATGCAGGATATTTGATATGAGACCCCTGTGAAAAGGTCATTTGACCCCTCCCTCCTCTGAAGGAGTCACAACCCACAAGTTGGGAACCGCTGATTTAGAGGCAGCAAATACCCTGGCTGAGGCTGAGCCTCCTCATTAGCTTGTAGTTGGTTCATGTGAGGAATGAGGTGTCACCTTTCACCAGCCTCCCTGGCCAAGCATCTGGGAAAAGACTCTTCCGGCATAGCCTTCTCGGTCTGGATGGCTTGATGGTGTGGCTTCATGTCTAGCCTAGACTCTATGAAGGCCAAGGAAGCTGAGTCTGGAATTTGCCATTCCCTGTGGCCACAAAGTGTCTTGAGGTCAAAGGCTACCCCTTTTTCTCCTCTGGGTGCAAAGGATGACCAGGTAACCTCTTCTCACCAGGAGGGCAGTCAAGGCCTCTCCCAACCCTCCTCCCATGGCTCGGTCTGCGGAGACGATGCCTGGATAGTGGAGCTCTGACAGCCTCACGCCTGGCAGCCTGGAGGGGCTGGCATTCCTGGGATCCTCCACACCCAGGATCTCAGAGACAAGTGTCTCTTCACATCCATCCCCTGCAGCTGCTGGTAGAGAACCAGAAGTCGATGGGTCATCAGACACGTGACAGTGACAGCTTGGGAAAGAAGCCATCTTCACTTCCTGTAGGACTGACTGCCTGGAGGAGAGAAGCCAGAGACAGATGCCAGTGCCAAGTGGTCCCCGCACAAAAGCCCTCTATCCCATACAATCCCTTCTTTCAACTGTCCTTGTGCAAACAGAATAACGAGAACTTTCCCTCCTGGGTCCCGGCTCTGTGGCCTGCCCTGGTCCTTCCTCACAGGAAGCTTCAGCCTGGTCGGTTTATGCCTCCTGGCAATAGTTCACTGTTTGCTGAGTCCACGGGACATATGGAATCTACCACTCGGGGACTCTGTACACCAGGCTTGAGTCATGTGATGTTGCTGGATGTGGGGTATGGCCAGCTATCAGCTACGGGGTGTTATTATTGTGATGAATGTCAACTGAGACTCCCCAACCCTGTGCAGACTGGAAACAGAGCAGGGTCAGAATGGCCTGGCCGCTTCCCTCCTGGCCAGGCTTTCCCATGGTCCCTTGGCACTGCCTCGGGGCCTGGGAGGAAGTAGCCTGACCTGAACCAGAGGGAACAGGGAGAGCCCATCAGGGCTTAGCCATGGCTCATTACCTGGCTAGAACGCCAGGGTCTGGCCAGGGAGGGGCGGTGACAGGGCTGTACCCAAGCTGGTGACTGTTTGCTGCTTGACATCTTTGCTCTGTGCGTTTGTTCTTCTTGTTAGTAAAGCCCAGCTGGGGAGATCAGTCAACTGGTTGAGACTGAAATAGGGTGAGAAAGATGGAGAGGCTGGGTTTGAGCAGAGCCTCCTCCCACCAGGTGGATCTGAGTCCTAGACCAACCTTACGCAGTCAAGACAGTGAGGACGGCCTTTGCAAGGCCCTGATGTGGGAATCTTATTTCTAAGGGATATGATCTTCAGGGTGTCACTCAGCTAGCTTACACAGTAGCTGCCTAACTACGAGCAATGAATATACAGCAAATGTTAATGAAGGACAGGTCCCCGGGCAAAGGAAGTCACGGGAAAAGGCCCTGGTCCTGTAGAGCAGGGAAATGTGCCTTTCCATTTGCCTGGGCACAAATAGTTCATGGGCCCAAATACAGGAGCACAAGGCCCTTCCTCTGAGCCTGCCATCAAGGTGCTTGCTGACTTACTGTGCAGGCCCCTCGTGGAGGATGCTGTGGAAGCTGGGCGGCTGGCCTGTTGGGGACCACTTGAGAACTGCGGGGCCAGAGACGATGCTTTTGCCGTGAGTGTGTTCAGCTCCATGGTCTCTGGAGTACCGGGTACCCAGGGCTTGAAGGTGAAAGCCGACGTGAATTCCCTAGGAGAAAAGAAATGTACAGTCTAGAGTCACAACAATGTTAGACAAAAGTCAGGAGGAGGGATTGTAAGAGGAGAGAAGCCACTAACTGTGAGCCCTGAGGATGCGGCAGCCACATTACAGGGGAGGAAAATGATGAGGCAGAAGTAACAGCTAAGGGGTTAGCAGGGTGGGGAAGGGGATGAGGGCCTGGGAGAGTACTGACATTTCATTAACTTACTCGGTTTTTTGAAATAGGGTCTTAGCATATGGCTCTGGCTGCCCTAAGCTTTCTATGTAGATCAGGGTGACCTGGAACTCAGAGATTCTCCGGGCTCTGCCTCTCCAGTGCTGGAATTAAAGGTGTGCACTACCATGCCCTGCCAAAATGTTTATATTGATTGATTGATTGATTGATTGATTTTGGGAGAGGGAGCACATGCCACAGAACACACAGGGAGGTCAGAGGACAACTTGCTGGAGTCAGTCCTTCCCCTCGACCATCCGGGGATGAAATGAAGTCATCAGGCCTGGTGGCAGGTGCCTTTATTCACTCAGCCATCTCACCAGCCCACCGGCAGCGACAGTTCAGACCGCATGTCAGGGAGGTGCTGGCAGCCGAACCATGGCCCCCAAAGGGGTCCATATCAGACACTCCTGAGCCCAGGAGAACACTGTTGTAGCAGTGTTATGGGAGCTGTTCCTGTTAGTCTGGGCTCTGGCAGCCCTAACAAGCTAGGCTTGTTAAAGACATGCACAGCAGCGAGAGACAAAGAAAGGAGATTTATTCCAAGTCACAGTAGGAAGGAAAACAAATAAAAAGGTCCAGTGGATACTCCAAGTCCTGAACCTGTCTACAGGATCCTGGTTCAGCTTTAAACTCCTGGCTAAGCAGTCCTGGCCAAGAAGTGGTCCTGTCCATCTATCATCGTCAGCTCCAGGCTCTTCTGCAAGGTGGTCTGATGGTTGTCAGAACTGTAAGGAATCTCTTCCTGGGAGAAATACTAATTCCTTTGGGGACCATTGTCTCAATAGTCTATAAGGCACAAGTGTCTCCTAAAATATCCTTTAAATGGGGTGGGAGAGATGGGCGCTCGTGTGTGCATGCACGCGTACACGCGCACGCGCGCGCGAGCACACACACACACATTAAATAAATTAAGTCAGTAAATGTGAAAAAATAAAGGTCTCCCCATCAGTGGCTGACACTGTGAGCAAGGCTGGTTATCTTAACGACTTTGCTTATCCTAAAGGGTTTGGAATGCATGCCTGGGTCACCTGGCAGGCAAGAGTAGTTATGGCAAATAGCTGTAGTCAGCCAGGCTGGATCCCAAAACCTTGAGGACAGGGTAAGGGCCAGGAGCTAAGGAGGAGAGGCACACCCTAGAAACAGGTAACCGTGAGGAGACAGTTTTCCAGGGTGAAGGAGTCCACGCTGCTGGCACACTTGGAAGGGTATGGCGGCAGACTTCCGCCCAGAACGGGAAACTGAGAGTCAGGGCATGCAGCCTCTCACACTGCGGAGATTCGCTTCTGCAGCACAAGGAAACTAGTTTTAAGAGGGGCAGCCAGGGAAGGCCTTGCTGACACGGTGATGTGAAAGCCTCAAACAAGCCCCATGACACAGGTGTTCCATCTTAGCAGATGTAGACTGAGGGTCCAAAGTTCAGGAGCCTTCCTGAGGTCATCCACAGAGCAGGCAGTGACGCAGGAGCTGAGGACAGTCGCTTTCCAGCTGTCTTCCACCAATTCCCCACAGCTTGGTGTTGTCAGACCAGAACTTTGGGGTCCGGGTTCTGGGGCCTCCCAGGAATGAGTTGGAGCGGGGCTGACAGTCCCGCCCATCCTGTCTCGCAGTCACAAGTGGCAACACACTGGCTGAACTGTGTTCTCACAGTGAGGGCGGGCCTCTCACTACTTAGAGAACTGTTTTCCTATGTGTGAGGTGGGGACCGTCACTTAGTGTTGCACCATTAAAGGAACTCACTCCACCACTTCACTGCAGCACACACATATGGTTTGTGTGTCCAGATGGGTTTGAGCTTGCCAATGGGGATCCTGAGCCAGTATAGAGGTGGTGACAGGCTGCAGGACCCCCACCTCCTACAGGAGGGAAGGATGTACTCTCTGTTGGGGTTTGAAGCCCAGAACCAAAGACAGCATGAGACGTTCTCCCTAGAGAGGCGCAGGGTCAGCTCTGCCTTTCTCTAGCTGGTGGCTGCACATGAACAAGTCCTCGGACAGGCTGGAGCCTTCAGCTTCTCCATCTGTAACATGTTTAAACATGGGGGCTGGAGAGATGGCTCAGCGGTTAAGAGCAGCGCTTGCAGAGGACTGAGTTCAGTTCTCGGGTCCCTCACAACCACCTGTCACTGCAGCTCCGGGGGGATCTGACACCGCAGCTTTCTTGGGCATCTGAACCCCATGAACACACCTATACACAGTCACACGCATACACACATAATTAAAAATAATAAATATGGTCACACCTTTAGTCTCAGCACGCAGGACGTAGAAGCAAGCAGGTCTTTGTGAATTTGAGGTCAGCCAGGTCTACACATCAAGTTCCAGGCCAACCAAGAATACATAATGAGACCCTATCTTTAATTAAAAAGAAAAGAAGAAAAAATGTTTCCAGGAGGTGGTGGCACATGTCTTTAATCCCAGCACTCAGGAGGCAGAAGCACGTGAATCTCTGAGTTCGATGCCAGCCTGATCTACAGAGCGAGTTCCAGGACAGCCAGGACTGTTACACAGAGAAACCCTGTCTTGAAAAAAACAAAACACAACAAAAAACAAAAAACCTCTCTCTAGATACATATACTGTTGTCTTTTGGAAGAACCTTGACTCATACTGTAAGAGCCACAGGGTACTATGCTCTTTGCTTAGAAGCACGTTACCCTTGAGGGAGAGAGAACCCTCAGCAGTGGCTCCCTCAGGCTGGCTCTTCCCACTAGTGATGGGCACTATTGTCCTTCCCAGAACACCAGGAAACCAGCCCTTAGCTTAGTAGGACCCATCCTGACAGAGCACTCCAAATCTTGGTTGCTGCTGCAGGACGGTGTGTTGGAAGGAGTTGTCATCAGCTCCTGTAGGGACGATGGAAAGGACACAAAGGCGGAGCAGCCTCTGAGTCTCCACCCCAGGATGGTGAACGAGCTGCCCAGAGCCAGGGCTGGAACCAGGAAATGGCCCTGGGTGGATAGAAGACGCCGGTTAGGGGACAGCAGAGTAGATGGGAAAAAAGGAAGTCCAGGAGGGACTCACTCATAAGCTCCAGAAAGTCATTTGCTGCAGGAACACATGTCAGTTTGACGTTTGTGTTCATTGGGAGGTGCCCCAATATAGGCGAGGATTTATTAGGGTGCCACTTTATGTCAACTCATCAATGGGGACATTGTGTTGGCAGGGAAGAGCAGTACAAGACGCCAGGGCTATTGCAGCTTCACTGTTTGGAATGCTGCTGAGTCAGCATGCCAGCAGCTGAGCACCCCAGCAGAGGATCCCATGTCCTCTCCTCATGCAGGAAGCCACAGGAGGTGTCTGGGCACTGCTCTGTCCTCTCTGCTCACTAGATTTGGAACTGGCTCTTGGTTGCTGCCACAGACACCTCATCCTGAGAATAATGAAACCTAGACGTTGGCAGAGATAAGGTGGGTGAAGGCACCTGTGCACACACACACACAGCTCTCTGGTGCTGCTCTCCAAGGCCTCTGAGCCTAAAGTGCCACTTTCATCTGGATGTATAGAATGTTGTATCTCGAGCTGCCACGTATCTGGAGGAGACACGAGGGAGAAAAAACCGCCATCCACATAAACTCTTTTCTCCTATTTAAAAAGCAAAGGTGCAGAGAAAATGAATCTCTTTTATCTGAATGCTTGGGGCTAGAAGTATTTTGGACTTAATTTAAAAACATTTTGGAACATATTCATAGGTATAATAAAATGTCTAGGGGACAGGAACCAAGTCTTTTTTTATGGGGAAGGCAGGGTCTCACAATGTAGACCAGGATGACCTTGAACTCACAGAACTGCCTCTGCTTCTCAAGTGCTGGGATCAAAAGTGTGCATCACCATGCCTGGCCATGTAGGATCCAAGTCTCTCTCTCTCTCTCTTTTTTTTTTTTTTTTTTCCGAGACAGGGTTTCTCTGTGTAGCTTTGCGCCTTTCCTGGAACTCACTTGGTAGTCCAGGCTGGCCTCGAACTCACAGAGATCCGCCTGGCTCTGCCTCCCGAGTGCTGGGATTAAAGGCGTGCGCCACCATCGCCCGGCTCTCTCTCTCTTTTTATGTACATGTGAGGGCCTGCATGTATGCATGTACACCACGTGTGTGCCAGGCCTTAGAGGCCAGACAAGGTAGCTAGATCTCGCTGAAACTAGGATTACAGACTGCAGTAAACTGCTTGGGGTGAGTGCTGGGAACTAAAGCCAGGTCCTCTGCTAGCACAGTGTAAAGTTCCCAGAAAGAAGCCACACCATTTATCTGTAGAAATCTGCACTTTCTACAGAGCTCACTCACCGCTTAGAATGTAATCTGTGGTGAGGCTGGAGTGTCAGAGGCAGGGCTAGCTCAGTCTCTCTTGGGCTATCTTCAGCACTCGAAACAGCCGTTCCTTGCCCAACTCCACATCTGACCTGACATCCTAGACAAACGGTTAAAGCTTTTTGGAATGTATAGAGGCTGGGGCGTCATCAGACAGATCTAAACCTATAGCAGAGATTCTTCCCTTCCCCAAGCGCCTCCTGCATGCTCCCACCATTGTGTTTGCAAAGCGACTTGGCTTCGGGCTTTCTTTGTTCTGTTTATAAAAACACCATCAGACTGTTACCGTGGGAACACTGGATTTGGGGTGACCTAAATCCGAGTTTCGGGGCCACGGCCACTCTACTTGGCCCTACAATAAACTCTTATTCCCTCTGAGGTGAGCACCTTAGTTGCTGAGCTGTCTCCCCAGTCCCAGGACCACATCTTATTGCAAAAATTCCTTTATGCTGCTTGGCGTGGTGGCACACACCTT